AGAGAGAGAGAGAGAGAGAGAGAGAGAGAGAGAGAGAGAGAGAGATGGTCTCAAACAAATCCAGTTGGAACATGGCAGGAGGTGATGGATGGGAATAATAACTAACACAAAGTTTGCTATACTCGTCCACGTTTGTGCGGTTCCACACATGTCCTTTGTGGCTGAGGGACAATTTCAGCAAAACCCAGGCATGTGGCTGGGGAGGGGAACCACAGTGCAGAGCAGACCTTGAAGATGGGTCTTAATGAGCAGCTATAAGGCTGTACCACCATGCAGCCTCCCTTCTCCTCGTCTGGTGGGGAGGCATATAGAGAAGAGATTTAGCGGTGGGAGAATACCTAGTAACTTTCTGGTCCAGGCCCTAATTGTACCAGAAGGGGATGGTATCTAGACAGGTACAGGGACTCACCCGGCTGTCAGGGGTACCGGGACCAGGGTCCCTGCTTGCCGGGCCAGCACTTCGCGTGCTCTTCTTGTCCTCCCTCCTCCCCCTCCCACCCCCGTGAGTTCTCAGCTCTGAAGCCAGGTCTGTCTGCTGCTCCTTCATTTGACCGTATCTGTGGATGAAGCCTGAATAAGCATCACTTCTCATTAGAGGCTACAGTGCTTGTTCTTGTTTAGAAATGAGGATGTTGTGTGGCATCCAGGGAGGAAGGAGGCCATGCAGAGTCACAACAAGTTTTCTAGAGAAAGATCAACTCAGAATGCAAATAAGTATAAGCTTTTTGACAATATGAATCGAGAATCTAAAACATGACCGTTCCCTTTGCTTCAATATTTCCTTTTCTAGGAATTTATCCTTGGGAAATCATCAGAGATGGAAAGACTGATCTGCAAAAACGGGTATCACAGCACAATTATATTTGCAAGAAGACTAGAAACAGCCTAAATGTCCAAGAGTGGAGGGTTTCTTACATGAATTGTGATACGCCAGGCAGCTATGAAAATGACCTTGTGGAATAATGGCTAGTGATCTGGGAGAAAACTCATGACATACATTACACCTAAAAAAGCAGGATACAAAACCGTATATGCAATATAAACTTAATTTTGTTTTTAATAAACGTTTCAGAGGGATAAGGCTGGAAAGAAATATCCCAAATTGTAAACAATGATTATTACTGGCTCTGTGACTAATATTTTATTTTTAATACTTCTCTGGAGTTTTTTCAATGAACATGAGAAAACGTTTTTCTCAGATGGACATGCACTGATTTTAAACCCAGAGATAAATATCACCAAGAAGAAATTCTTTTATGTTCATGATACAGAGACACAGAGCTGAGAACTGCAGACATGCACAAACACCGTGACCCAGAGTGGTGGTACCCAGAGCAAACTCTTGGCTGGGGTTTGAGCTCCTTAAATCCTAAACCTCCTGGAAGCCTGCAGGTGGCTCTCAGCCACAGCTCGGGTCAGTTTCTCTCCCTGGGTTTGCAGGATTGCTCATCTGCCTGATCCAGACATTTCAGCCCTTGGTCCTGGCGCTTTGAGTTTTAATCCTTTTACGGGGGTAGCTGGCCTCTAAAATGCTGAAAAAACACAGCCCAGCAGCCACTCTTGCCTCAGAGGCTTTCTTCACTAATGGATCAGAGAGAGGCCATGCGGGCAATGGAAGCTGCCTAGGGACACGGGACAAGGAAGCACAGAAAGCCCGCCCAGGGGGTACCTTGGCAGGAGGTAGGGGAGCACGAAGACCCAGCAGTGGCTGGGGGGAGAGGATGGGACTGGGAGAGTGGGATGGGCAACCAGGGAGGAGAGAGGTTCTGGCATCACAGCCATGTAGGGGAGGTGTCCTGGCAGCGGGGACCCCAGAATGAAATGGCCTGATGCTTTGTAAACAGAACCACCACACAGAGGTGCTCCCCACGCCATCCCAGCTGCCACCCTCTGGCTCCCGGCCCAGGCAGTGCGTTACCTCGTTGTTGGTGCCCACATCCAGCAGGACAGGGAGGCACTGCTGCGGGTTGACGCCTCCGCACGCCGTGTACAGGGCCAGCTTGCCCACGGGGATGCCCATGCCGTAGCAGCCCAGGTCTCCCAGGCCCAGGATGCGCTCCCCATCAGTCACCACCACAGCCTGAAAGACAAAGCAGGACGCCATCAATCAGGGACAGCACCTCCTGTGACAAAGTGCTCGTTTGTACAGCACGTCAGGCCTGTTGACTGGACGCCCACCGCCTCTGCTGCGGGATGAAACAGCTTGTCTGGGACAAGGCCAAAGGATGCTTTCAACTGCAGGTGGCGGGCCCTTCCCCCATCCCCTCCCCTTTCTGGCAGGGCTGGAGAGAAACCCCGCTGAGGTGAGATGATGGAAAGACACCGGCCTGCATTCCGAGGTTCTGTTCCTGCAGGAACAGCTGGAGGGAACCCACACCGAGTCATTCTCCCTCAAAGAAATTAAGCAGACTCTCTCAGCTTGAGCTCTGGGGCTGGGGACAGGGAGGGAAGGCAGAATGAAAGGAGATAATAAAACAAGTGTTTATGCTGCTACTACAGCCCCAGGGTTTAGAGACCCATATATGTGCTCTCCGCCCTGTTCCGGGGTATAATAAATCCAATCTGTAAAAACCAGAGCTCCTTGTGACGTCTGCTAGGGTCACTATTCCACGGGAAACCAGGAGGGTTCTCAAGGTGTACTGGGATTGTCTTTGTGTTTTGGCAAAAAATCACAGAAGGCATAGTAGGTACTAGACATAGTACTAGTTCCAGGCTTACCTACTGTGAATTAACAGATGCTGATGGAGCTGATAGTGATGACAGAAATAATCATATGATAATGATGGCTATTCATTCCCTCATTCATTCATTTAATACATCTTTATGAAACATCTGCTTTGCAAAAGACAGTGTGCCAAATCCTGGGGGAAGGAGGTTCAGTTTGCTCATCTATAAAAACAAGAATGTGTGGACCCAGCCCTCGAAAGGACTAATGGGCAAGAGAGAGGTGGAACATGTATAGTTATACTGACTCTGGGGGGAAAGTGTGAGGGCAGCGGAACAGCTCAAGGGCAGCGGAACAGCTCAAGGGCAGCAGAGACTGAGAGAAGGGAGAGGTACTTCCTGTAGGATAACCTTTCTTAGGTGAGGGGACACACGTGCCACATCTTGGACAGGTGGAGATTATCCATTAGGGGTACAGCTGGGGAGAAAGGTATTTGATGCAAAAGGAAATTAAGGTTCAGGGTAGAAGTGGGGGGAATGTAGGCTGTGTGTGTGGGTTCAGGTCCCACGAAAGGAGAGAATGGAAAGTCAGACTGCAAGGCGCCCTGAAGAACCCACCAGGGTGACAGTGAAGCTGTTTACAGGTCACCTCAACTGGCTCTCCAGCACTGGTTCCCTCCATCTCTAAGTGAGTGGAGTTTATGGGGCCACCCAGCCCTCCACTGGAACCAGCTTCGGGTCAGGACTTAGGACCAGCTCTGAGCTGTGGCTGTCCTGGTTGGCCCCAAGCGTGGTGCCGTGGGCACCGCAGAGGTCAGTTTACTCCACGCAGGTACAGTGGTGGGCTGAGCACCGGCGATAAAGAGACGAAGACCCACTCCTACTGGGGAGGGTTTATGGTCCAGCACCCACAGGCTCTGTGGAATCTTCTCTCTCCCAGGGTGAGAGCACACACGGCTGTGCTGCCTTTCGGTAGAAGCAGGTGTAGAGACGCGTAAAGCCACACCTCCACTGCTGGAAAGGGGGCTCTGGAGAGCGCAGCGGCCCCATGAAGGTCGTGCTGTCCCCCTTAGATTGGTCTCCTGCCTCCAGGGCGAGTGTCTCCGTCCTGCATCTCACTTGCTCCTCCCCCGCCCTGGCAGGGAGGCCCGTCTGGGATAGTTATCTGTGTTTCACAGGTGAGCAAACTGAAGCTCCTGGACCTTCATGCTCTGTACATATTTGTTAAGTATCAGCCAACCGCCAGGCACTGTGCTGGATGTTTCCACATCAGTTATCTTAGAAATATCAGATGACTTACCAAGGGCACCTTGCTTGTGTATGTGGCAAGTCGAGATTCTAATCAGGCTTCAGGTACCTGGTTCAGGGCTCTTTCTACAACCCGGCTGGGCTGGGAAAAAGCACCTGTGCTCTTGGCAAAGTCCTGTCCCGCCTGGTGCCACCCTCTCCGCAGCCTCTGACCCCCTGCTGGCAGCTTCCCCAGTGAAGCCTGTGCCTTCACGCTACCCCTGAGTGCCCAAACTCTGAGCATTTCTCTATCATCTCTCCTAATCAAAGCCTCCCTATTCTGGTTCCCATTCTCTTAGATTTCTCTCTGCTGAGGGGCAGTGAGTGACACGGAGTTCAACAGAGGAAATCAGCTACGACTCCAGGGTGTTCTCCTTATAACTCTGGGGCCTTTCAAGATGGTAGCGGGGGGACTTCCCTGGCACCTTGGAGGTTAAGACTCCACGCTCCCAATGCAGGGGGCATGGGTTCGACTCCTGGCTGGGGAACTAAGATCCCGCCTGCCTCGCAGTATGGCCAAAAAAAAAGATGGTAGCGGGGCTCTGCAGGGCCACCCTCCCAGCCTGGGGATGTCCAAAGGTGCTTGACTACACGCCTGACTCCTCCGAGGGAAAGTCTCACCTCCATCTGTCATCCACTCTCCATCCTGCAGTGCTAAATGGCTGGATTATTGCAACGGCTTCACAACCAGGCTCAAAGGCCTTTAGTTACTTCTAACTGTCCATAAAATAGAGTCCAAAAGGCTTATCTCTTTCATGACAGGAACCCAACATGCCTTCTGAAACTCTGCACACAATTGCCCCCTCTAGCAGAACTGGCCTCACTCCCGTCAGACACACTCTGAATTCACCAATAATCTCTAGCCTCTCAGCCTCTATATTCCTGTCACTTTCTGCTCTTTCTCCAGCAGTGCAAATCCTGCCCGTTACAACCCAATGTGATTTCTCCTGGCGCTTGCTGTATCTACCACGCACCCGGCCTGCTCAACCTTCCTGTCTGCCTGCCTGCCTTCTGCAGACATTTATTAAGTACCTACTGCTTGCCAAGCCCTGCATAGGTGCGATTTAAAAATCTGATGGTGACAGCATTTGGGGTCTTATTTAACATTTTAAAAAATGTCCATTTAATCTCACCAAATAGCCTAAAGGTTAATGGCAGGGGTTTTGGCGTCTGATAACCAGTATTCGGATCTAGGTTCCTTGATAACCCACCAATATGTAATCTTGGGTCATCAGATAACTTTTCTGAGTTTTAATTTTCCATAAAATGGGAATAATAATAATGTCTAACTCGTCAGCTTGTTGTAAAGATGAAATGAAATAATAAGTGTCTCATTTTAACCAGGCGCCTGGTGCCTTGTAAGTGATTGGCAAATGGTCACTGCTTGTATGATTATATTGATGGTTAGTATTGGGGGCAAAGATTACATAGTAGAATTTTTAATTGTTTCGTCTGGCTTTAGTTCAGCTTCACCATAGAAAGGCCATGCAATAATTATATCTGTTAAATGAGTGAATGAAAAGGAAACCAAGGGGAGACCTTGGCAGCTTTTAAGAAAGTCTGGCCATGAGAAACTCAACCGCATTCTAACCTTGACATTGTCGTTCATTCCAATGGCAAATACTGTCACCTCTAAGCAAACACTTACAGCTCACCATCTGCCAGATTGCCACTTGGATGTCCAATAGTCCTCTCCAATCCTCCAAGTCCTTTCCCAAATGAATCTGCTTTTCCCTTTCTCTCCTTCTCAACTTTCCACTTCTGCTGTCCTCCCTCACTCTGTTACCTCCTATCTCCCAGGCTCAAAACTGCCCAATCTACTTTGACTTCTTCTGTCATCAGTCAACCACAGTCAATTGGTCACCAAGTTCTGCTGATTTGACCTGCTTCCATTTTTCTCACCTGTTTCATGATCTTCATCCCTATTGCTAACCTTAGACCAGCCCATCTGCGTCTCACTTGACCACTTTAGTGGTTCCCTGATTGGTCTTTCTATTCTTGGATTCTCCCTACTCCATTGCATTTTTCCAAAGCGCACCCAGATTTGTCACGTTCTTGCTTCCAAACCTCCGATGGCTCCTGATGCCTATAAAGTAAAGCTCAGACATCCTCGACTGACATTTGAGGCCTTCCGTGGTCTACGCCCAATCTGCTCTTTGAATTTCCCCTTTATCCACTCCATCCAAACTGAAACGCTGTTAA